AATTACTTTTCCCTTGAAAATGTAAAGTAAGGGATTACTCTTCATTTATCTGTAATTTAATTACAGTTACTTCTGATGTAATTGAGGTAAATACTGTGTATAGATCAATCCGATCTCACAGCGATTCGTATGAGGTGTCTAAATCGTACGACCGCACTCGTACAAATTCGTATGAATTATTGTAAAATATGTATGAAAAAAGTGTGAAATGTCATGAGATCAGACATAAAACAATAGTGGGTTTAACATCAAAATGTATTGTCTGATGCTAAAAAGTATGTTTTTATAATGTAACCTTCTCCACCTTGGTCAGTTTAAGGATAATTCGTGCAATTTTATAGTATTTATTTGAAAGAATTAAAACAGATTCATGTCTACCCTTGTATTATTCAGCTGGGATTTTGAAAGTAATTAGTAATTAAAAGTAATTAAATACTTTTAGAGAGAGTAATTAGTACAGTAATCTAATTACACTGTTGAAGAGGTCATTAGTAACTAGTAATTAATTACTTTTTTAGAGTAACTTACCCAGCACTGTTTGCAATACTATCTATTTTTTATGGGTTTAAATAAGAGATTTTTGTTATAAAAGACAAAGACTATGTTTACATGCAGCTAATTTTCGGGTTATGGTCGGGTTAAGGTCTCTATTCGGGTTTCTGAAACATTAGGAATAACCCGTTTACATGCGTGAGCAGAGAGAGTTTCTCCTATATACATGGAATTGCAATATCCCGATGTAAACGGCGACGCACGGTTAGCGTCTAGACGTACGGACAACCTTAAGACGCAATATGAGTCATTTCCGATTCTTCTTCCTGTATCCAAAGACAACAACAGCAGCAGCACGCGGATAATGAATAGTTCGGGCAGATAGCGATCGCCTTTGTTTGAGCTTTGATGCTGGTAACGTTACTGACCTCGCTCCAAAAGTGTCCTGTGCTGTGTTTACTTCCAGTACACTGCAAGTGGATTTTTGTATGCGCCGGGAAGTTTCTCTACTCAAAAGACCAAGATTCCTTGCGAATAGAACATGCGCAGAACACAAATCACTGCCGATACGAGTTTACATGACCAAAAATTCGGGTTAGAAAAGGGGTACCCCAGGTATAATATCCCGGTTTTTAAAATCCGGGATATGAGCATATTCGGGTTTTTGCCGGTGTTTACATGGCCGTTCGCGACCGGGTTATTGCTAATATCCCGGTTCTGAACGGGTTATTGGCCACATGTAAACGTAGTCAATGATTAAATATTGTTAGTGTTACACTAAAAACTAAATATTTTTAGTGTTGACAAACGTAGTCAATGACTACGTTTCTCGGCGCATACAAACATCCGCGTTTAGTATATACCGTAGTAAACATGGCGAGACACAACACAGGACACTTTTGGAGCGAGGTCAGTAACGTTACCAGCATCAAAGCGCAAACAAAGGCGATCGCTATCTGCCCGAACTTTTCATTATCCGCGTGCTGCTGCTGTTGTTGTCTTTGGATACAGGAAGAAGAATCGGAAATGACTCATATTGCGTCTTAAGGTTGTCCGTACGTCTAGACGCTAACCGCGCGTCGCCGTTTACATCGGGATATTGCAATTCCATGTAACTCGCTCTGCTCACGCATGTAAACGGGTCATTCCTAATGTTTCAGAAACCCGAATAGTGACCTTAACCCGACCATAACCCGAAAATTGGCTGCATGTAAACGTAGTCATCGTGTATCATAACTCCTTTCCGAAAACGAGCTTGAGCTTTAAAAATGTAAACAAATTTGTGCTAACAAAGTCTTTGAGTATTTATTGAAGCCACAAAATAATCGTTCCTTAAAATAAGTATGATGAGCTACACAACAAGCATTTCGAACATCTTTTTTTATTATTACCCAAAAATCAAACATACACACATTTTCTCACGTCTGTCTAAATCTTAGGCTGGCTGTCGGTTGGGATATTAAGACTAAAAACATCAACATAACTCACTCACGGTCATCAATCCCTTCACTGTGTACTTGCCGGCTGAGAAATAAATAATTATTACATTGCAATCTGCTTTCACAATACACAGAAGGATTTGGGTCCAACGTCATCGCTTCGAGAAGAGGGAGAAAATGGCAGCCTTCAACATGCAGTGTGTCAGAGACCATAACATACATAATACATCACGCGTGTGGAGATAAAGTCGTCCTCCACTCAATCCAATCAAGAAGATCCGGGAACTTCACTTCACACCGCAGATAAAGAGAATAAACACCAGTCCGGCTGAAGAAATTAGTGAACATCCTTTAATCTGGTGCTTTTACTACAGATTCTGATTCTGACATTCCTGATTTTAATATTTTCAATAGTTTTCTATTCATGACCAGGTGAACTGTTAAATAAGTGATTTTACACGACGAGTCCTTGTAGATTTGACTCTTAGATGCTGATGCTTGACAGGTCGTTTTTATAAAATATAGTTGACCTTCTCAGTTGTTTAAAGTTTAATAAAAATTTGTTTAATTTTCCAATAAAAGATGATGCATCATTACACGATTTGTTACATTTAATTACCCCTTAGCAGATTTTGACTCATTTTATCAAATATTTTGCATGTAGTAAATGCATTAATTTTTTCAGTCCTGTTGGCCTTGCTCTCCTCACACAGGGAGAAAGACGTGTGTGTGTGTGTGTGTGTGTGTGTGTGTGTGTGTGTGTGTGTGGTGATACCCGGCTGGGCTCATTAACAGTGTGTATTGTATTGTCTTTGACCAGACAGCTTTTAATTTTGATTTAGTTTATGCTGTGTTATAACCCGATCAGTTGTTCTCTGTGGCACAGCGCTGTGATTATGTGTGTGTGAGTGTGTGAGTTCATTGTCAAAGGCAGTACAGCTCTCTGTCTCTTTCTTTTCAACGAAGCTTTTTATTTCATTGTGTATTTAGTCCTCTAAATCCAACAGGACACAAATTCTGAAGTCACTTTATTTGACAGTGTCCTTGTTACTATAGTAATAACCCCTAACCCTAAACCCATTCTTATTCCAACCATAAGTACATAGAGTTCATTATTATATTTCAACACTTGAATGTATAATTTCACAGACACTTTAAAATAAAGTGTTACCAAATAAAATAGAAATTATGTGAAATTATGTGTAAAGCTGTCAGCGGTTATTTTCCAGATGCATAAAGTTAATACAATTCATTTTCAAGTACTGAAATGTTGTGCACAAAAACAAATTAGAATGAAAAAAAAAATTTAATTAAAAAAAAAAAAAAAATTAGAATGTGTTCTTCTTTTTTTTTTTTAAATTGATCCCAAAAAAAAATATTACTCTAAACGTAACATTATTTTGTAACTTTTCATTTGTTCACTGATGAAAGGCAAATATGCAATGTTTGCAAATTAATATCAGCCAGGACATCAAGAGAATGAGATAGACAACGTCCTACACTAAAATACTAAATAGATCATCTTTTTTTATTGCATTTCAGAAAATGTCTATATACCTTAAAATGCACACTGCAGTATTCTCCTTATGATGTAGTTCAGCTAAAATACAACACATTTTAATGCCTACATGTATCAACATGGTGAAGAGTGTGTGTGTGAGAAGGGCAGCTGAACACACAGAGGACAGTGGTACGGTGGCCGAGAGCCAGATGTTGTCACACACAGATGCTTTCTAATGCAGGAGAATGTGATGACACATGCAAAAGACAGTCGCACTCCTTCATCTGATCAACCAGGCCAGCCGTTTTAGACCTATGGATATGATATCAGAACGCAGTTCCACAAGAATATATCCTAATGCAATCTGCCGCACGATTATTTCCCCCCTTCAACAGCCAAGAGAATATAGAGAAACAAAGCCAGCGTGAAGAATAATAAGCGTAACATATCTGTGCATGTTGTTTTAAGAAAACCATGATGATTAAAAAGTGGAAGATTTACAATATTTATAAATGCAGTTTGACAACACACACTTGTGCATGAGGAAAAACAACAATTAAAGCGTTCGTTTGCAGGCTTCAAACAATTCCCACCCGTTCTGCTAATTGCAAACCACGCGCAGTGATGATAAACTAAATTTGGAAAATCTCTCCATTATGTTACATTAGTTCCAGTTTGAGACAGCATCTGCGGAAATCACAGGACTTGAAGGCTAAAGTGAGCTTATTACATCACATGATTAAAGGAAGCCCTGGGCTGTGCCGTGGAGATCCCCGAGGGGCATCGGACAGTATTTGACAGTATTGATAGAGAGACTGCACATAACACAGGCCTCATCCCAGACACATGCACTCTTTCGTTGTGGACTGAAGCGAACGTTAATCCGTCAACTCTATTAAGAAAGCGCTTGTGACTCAGTTCTGGGAGGTGATGCTGAGCTTGGATGGCCTTCCTCAAAGCATTGGTTAAGTGGTTGCTAATAGCAACATGCAGGAGAACATCTATGCAGTGAAAGCCTACACTAAATCATGTCTGACTTTTCCTCCTGTGATGTTAAAAATAGGAACTAGAACCATTAAAAACCTTGATGGTGGCGATCCAAAACTGTGTCAATTGATCAACGTGTGACTTAAAGTAAACTGAAGAATAGAATAGAATAGAATAGAATAGAATAGAATAGAATAGAATAGAATAGAGCAGTGCTTATAACCTTAGGCAAGAACAGAACAAAATGCGTCATTGCAATGCCTCACAGCCAAGATTATTCTCCTCATAAAACATTCAGAAACGACAATATATGAAACAAGAGAACGTGCAACTTATGCATAAGATATGATCTGAAACAGGGGGTTCCCGTTCGCCACAGCCTTGGGCAACTTCAGCATGTGTGATGGAGGCTCAAAAAGTTCAGTTTGGAAAAGTAGCGTTCCCTGCAACAAAACATGCACGACTCTGAACTCTTTTAAGAAGACGAGCACCTTGCATTTGACATTCAAGCGCTGCTTTGCAGGACACCGAGAGCTTCAATCAACGCAAAGGGTGATGATAACTGTGGTGTGTTTTCTTACCGAATCTTAACACATGTGGCATCCCGTGAGAATATCCCACACACAGCAAGAGCAGCAACAGCCCAAGCCATCTGTGATGATGAGTTACCAGAGGAGAGCACATCTTCGCGAACTGCATGTCATTCCCCTGGACGGAGCGTAAGAATCCCACTGGTTTGTGTTGTGTTGTCAGCGGTGTGATCACGGCATGGTCACTGAGACTGAAGAACACACTCCATCAGCGATGCTCCGCATGTCCGTCTCACTGCGCAAACGGGCAACCTTCCGACCGGGCGTCCATGTTAGAGAGGGGGAATCCGGGACAAATCCATGTACGGGTGCCCTGAAAGAGCGGAGCGACACGGGAGTGAGGGAGGGAGGGAGTGATGAGAGCCGGGTTCGCGGATCGCTTGACGCGCGCGAGGCAGAAGCGGGGAGCGACGAGCGCGAACAGCGCGTGTAATGCCTTCTACTGCACTGCTGCACTCACTCACACACTCACACTCGCACTGACGTCGAGCCGAGAGCAACGCGCGCGCAACGCTGACCACGACCACTCACAACACCAGATCCCACTCCAGCGTGCAGCACGCGCGTGGCGCGCTCCCACGGCTCGGTTCGGGGCTCTGGCGTGTTCAGATGATGCGATCAAACACACTTTCTACTCTCCTTTGAGCTTTTCACACACGAGCATTGTGTGCTTTCACGTAGTTTCCGAATTAAAGAAATAAATGAGCCTTACATCGCACGTGCTTTTTCGTATCTCTTTTTTTCCGAATCATATTTTTTTATTTTATTTCTGCGATTAAACTGCGGTTACTTTAATTTTATTTTGATGTTAATTCTAACAAAAACTACTGTTCTATATTTAGTCTATAATTGTATTATATTGTAAATTCATACGCGCGCGCGCAAAAGTTCTTTTATCGTTCACACACACACACACACACACACACACACACACACACACACACACACATATATATATATATATATATATATATATATACACTCTAAAAAATGCTGGGTTGTTTTAACCCAATTTTGGGTCAAATATGGACAAACCCAAAATGTTGGGTTAAAAATGTAATGTAAAAAATTAACCCAACGGCTGGGTTAGTCCATATTTGACCCAAAGTTGGGTTAAAACAACCCAGCATTTTTTAGAGTGTATATATATATATATATATATATATACTGTGTGTGTGTGTATTTTGAGACTAGTATTATAAATAAGTTGTCTCTCTCAGACAGCTGCGGGCTATATGGTGTTCTTTGAACTCTTGCGGCCTTTAAAACCAAGAAAGGGCCGGTAATGAGGACGAACCCTTCAGCTTAAATTAAACAGACCTCAATAGTGCTCCTGCGTCCAGGATAGGCGTATAGATGTGCACTAGAAGAGAGCTGGTGTGTTTCAGCACCACGGACAGCGACACACACTCTCCTCTTTACGGAATCAGCTGCATGAACACACACTCTCTGTGGTTTCGGAAGGACTATTGCGATTTTGTTTCCTCCGAGAAATGCCCAAGTATTGTACACGGGCGGAATTAGTTTGACTGGTAATGAAATATGTATATATCGTGTCAATTTAAGAGGTGTATCTTGTGATTTGATTTAACATCTTCATGTTCATTTGTTTGATATTGATAAATGCGTGTCATGTGTCACAGCAGATATTGATGATTCGCAAACTAATCACTCTGACGCCTCATTTAAGCATCATGTTTGCAATGCATCGACTTTGGTTTGGTTTGGGATTTTTTTTTTTCACTTATGTGTGTATCTGCTCAAATATAATATTTCTGTCTGCATAAGTGATAGATCCAACAAAAGTAATTCACGTGATGCTTAAACTCATCAACAGCAGAGACACACCATTTCCCGGCATATTTAATGGCTTGGTGCTTCCTTCAACCTCACAACAATGTGTGTGTGTGTGTGTGTGTGTGTGTGTGGTGTGTGTGTGTGTGTAAGAGAGAGAGAGAGAGAGAGAGAGAGAGAGAGAGAGAGAGAGAGAGAGAGAGAGAGACAGAGGGGCGGTGTATTTATTTTAAACTAGGATCGCGCAGTCGTGCCCGGGGTCTCAACATGCTGTATAACTTACAACTCATTAAAATCCTCTTCGCAATTAAGGTGAGTGCGACTAGAAATAACAAGGTAGCTTATAATAACTCCACAAACACACACTTTTTTCTTTTGTCAAGGACATAAAGAGTTCAGTTGTTACCTTATATAAAACAGACGCTCATGCAGCCGTAGATCATCGAGAATCAGCCAAACCTCATCTTTTACATCAGATATGAGTTTAAGGCATCGCTGGTGTGTGTGGTGCTGGTGAAGTGTGTCTTACCTCGGGTGTTGAGAGCAGCTGAGGCTGATGAAGTGTGTGTGAGTGTGTGTTCAGATGCTCGGGCTCTGTGGAGGAGACACGCCTCCTGTCGGACGCTTAAAGACACACTGCGCTACAGATGCACGTTTTAATCGATATATGATGGGATATAGCGTTTAAAACATTGATAAAGCGAGGGATCACTGGGTGGACACGATATTCTTCCAGCTGTCGTTTCACAATCGCGAGCCGTGACTGGAGACACAGCAAAATCAATTATTTTGTAGGCTATATTCTTATTTTTTTGTAAAAGCAATTGTAGGAATATTACCAGCGTTAAGGGATATGGCATTTTGGTGACTGTATGTTTTACAAATTCTGATTCGAAATAATAATTATTCAAGATGACACGGTGATAAAAAAGATCGCGTTAAAACACATACAATATACTTTCTTAAAACATTTTCATATTCTAGCTAAACATTTTAATGTTCAACAGGCATTCAAAAATTGTCATATTAATATTTGACTTTAAATCTAACTTTAACCAGTAAATTTTTTTTTTCATTAATGTAGATTAATGAAAAAAAAACTGTATGTTTTTTTTTTCATAGCATGCAAAAAAAAAAAAAAAATCTACAAAAATGCTACAAAACGTCTATTGAAAAATATTGAACACACACACATTGTGTTTTCATGTTTTATGGGGACTAATGATTTTTATTATTATCTAATTATGGGCTTTTTGTCCCCATAATGCAGGATTTACCAGGACCACACACACACACACGAGTGTGTCTAATATTATGCTTTTAAACACATGTGACAACTTGCCCCATCCAACCATTATACAGTAGGCTATAATGTATCTCAGTGTTGCACTGCATCAGTTGTTCGCTGGTTTATTCCGCCATCAGTTTGTTTTCTGGCTTGCGTATTGTTTATTTGAACCACATATGCGATGCTGGTCTATGTCCAAGAAAGAAAAGGAAAAACACTTTCTTTGTCACATTCCAGCACAAGACGAGCACAGAGCATGTTGTCCTGACTCACGTCTGAGAGAGAGAGCTTGACCAGGGCTGGTGATCAGAGGAACCGTCCCAATAATGAGATGGAGAGAGGAGCCGTGACAGATCCAGGGGTCTTCTAAAGGACACACCAGCTTCAGTCTCTCTCTCTCTCTGTGTGTGTGTGTGTGTGTGTGAGAGAGAGAGGAAGTGATAGAAGCAAGGCGTCTCATTGCTTTTCTCCTCTCTCTTTAATTACAACCAGTCTACCATATCGGAGAGGAAATTAATTATTCACCTAATCTGCCACAGGACGAAACACACGTCTAATGAAACACACCGCCGATGCAACAAACAATGAGACACACACAACACAAATCCATAAATAAGCCACCAAAAGGCTGTAATAATTGTACACTTATGTATAGAAAGTGCATCTAATAGTGTATATGAAGAGTTCAGATGCAAAAGCCTCTAAATGCCATTTGAAATTTTCTTCTTTAATGATGATTTTTTATCAAACTTGTATATTTAAGTTCAGTAATTTCACTCAAATAACAATTAATAGGTAATTATCATTGCCATTTAAGTGAAATCACTGAACTTAAATATACAAGCTTGATAAAATCATCATTCTAGAAGAAAATTTCAAATGGCATTTAGAGGCTTTTTGCATCTAAACTCTTTATATATATAATCACCAGGCTGCATTTATTAACAAAACAATGAAACTCTCTCTTTAATTTTAAAATAACTGTTTTCTACATGAATATATAATGAAGTGTAATTTATTCCTGTGATCAAAGCTGAATGTTCATCATCATTACTCCGTCTTGATGATCAACAAACATTTGTGTTGAAAACAGTTGTGCTGCTTAAATATTTTTTTGTACAATGTATTTTTTAACATTATAAATGTCTTTGTCACTTTTGATAAATTTAATGAGATTATTAATTTAATTTAATTAAAAAAAAAATTGTTTGTTGTAAATCTAACTTAACCCGAAACATTTGAATCATGATTAACATCAAAATATGAAGCAGAATAATAGATTTATTAAACTCTGTCATCATAAAAAACATTTCAAATATTATATTATATTACAATAAGAAACATACTGTATTTAAATTGTAATAATATTTCACCATATCACTGTTTTTTATTTATTTATTATTAAAGAAATGGATGAGCATAAGAGATTTCTTTCAAAAACATTAAAACATCGTAATTATTTCAAACTTTTGGCTTATGATATCTACAAACACACACATTTACTGGTTGTAACATTAGGACAAGCCTGAATATGGTTGTCTTGAAACTTACAGAAATATATTTCACTTATTAACCATTATGCATCATTGTTTAAAATAAAATAATAATTTAAATGTGTAGTGTAGTCAAGCTAACTTGTGTTATGTGCCTCGTTCTACCATCTCACATCGTTTGAGGAAACAGAGAATATATCAACAAGCAGCTTATCTCTGATCCTGTGTGGCGCCAGACTAATTTCTAGTTTTGAACGTCTCGTGTTCGCACCAATTATTTATGGTGACATCCCTATTAAGATCCCTCGGCTGCTTTTTGAATTAGAGAAGCGCTAATAAGGTCTTTCAGCAGTTTATACACTGCAGTCTGTAGACTTTAATGAGCCCCTGGTCGCCCCTATTATCCCAAACAAAGATGGAGGTGGATTACCGCAAAAGCTGGATCGGCCCATGCTCTCAGACCCCTGTCACTCTCGCAGGAACGTGCCTCCGTAATGTCACCGAGGAAACATTGCACGAGACAAACAAGCACTGTGATATTTGTGAATTTTGTGGCATTCCCACAAGATTATAAATGTGCTGTGTCTGAGAATGGAGTTGCTGCTTTTAGACGGGGGAAAATTGTGTGAGTTCAGTCTTTTGTAAGCTTTTCATTATTGTGTCCAGCACTCTCTCTCTCTCTCTCTCTGCTAACATTTGGTAACAGTTGTACCATTACTGAGCTGGTTTTGTTGGTCAGCGCAGACACAAAAATGAATCATTCAGTTAAATAGGTAGAGTAGATACACTCAAATTCCTGTGTTTTGTCAATTCAGAGCCACCGTACAAGCAAACGCAAAATCCAGAACGGTTCTGGATCATTTGGTTCACCGAAATTGGTCTTCTTTTTAATATGTGGCTCTTGGAGCGAAGAAGCGAACTCCCCTTCCTCTCTACACAATCTCTGGATTGGATGGACCCAATATTTTGTTTTTCTCTTTTTAGGAACAACAAAATAATCCTCACAGCTTGAAGACGCCATTTTTTATTGTTTTGCGTTTGTGGTTTTGTTTTCGCAAGGGATTCATTGATACGCTTTGGTGTGCAATGTGTCTGTGCGTGGCAAATTTTTTGGAGGATGAATAGATAAAAACGCATACGTGTGCAGAACTGACCCACGCTCCCACCACTGAGAGTGAGGCCATGCCCACACGAATACGTTTTCGTTTGAAAACGTATATTTTTCTCTCCGTTTTGGCCTTCCGTCCACACTGAGACGGCGTTTTAAGTCAACAAAAACGTATCGTTTGGAAAACGCTCTCCAAAGCGGATAAATTTGAAAACGGCGTTTTCGCGTTGTAGTGTGGACAGTGAAGCCGGTGTTCTGTCGATTTTTGCTGCCTTGTCGAAAAATGCTACCGTAGCGCGAATTGATCACAGAATGCCGATTAAAGTCGTATGAAATACAATTCTAATACAATTCTAAGTTATGAGTAGCTACTGTTTTTATTTTTAAAACGGTGTGAAAAGTAAAAATTATCATAAAATATTCATCTTTGACTTGTCAAAGTACACCTTTTCTTATAGTAACTGAAACTTTCAGTTATTCCTTTTCAGCTGGCTGACCGTACAAATATTCATATGGTAGTAAGCATTTTTTAAAGGGAAATTATACATTATAACAGGAAAATGTACCTTTTGTAAAAAAAAAAAAAACTGTGAGTCTGCACATGCGCATAACGGTAAGTAGGAAATCTCGATGGGTAGCATGAATTGTCAGAACACCGGAGGTATTTCAAAACAATGACGTAATCAAAAGTCATGTGATCCATGTAGTACCAATCGGTATTGTGCCTGTTATGTGTTATTCATTTTTACACTATTGCTAAAATGTGTTACTTTCTATGTTACTTAATATGTGCTATTCTTCATAGCAAAGTACTGCAAAGATGACAGATAATGTACTTACATTTGCAGTCCTGCGGCAAAACAGGAGAGCAGTTGCGTTTTAGACCAAACATATGGCGACCTGGATGCATCCGTGATGGTGAGATATTTTGCTAAATCAAATTATCCTGTTATTGTGCGATAACATTATTATTTATTTTCCCGTCTGTATCATCTCGGTGAGCTTTTGTGAAGTTTCACGCATGCGCAGTAAAGTGAATTTAGAAGTTTCTCATTCACACTCAAACGTCGGAAAACGCCTGAAAACGCTAGTGTGGACGGAGAGCGTTTTTTAATGAAAACCCCGTTTTCAAATGTATCCGGATTAATGTGGACGTAGCCTGAGCTTCAGACTGCCACCGTCAACAATGATTTTGATTTTGGAGAGGAGGATACCCTACCCCCTTCAACCCCACCTGATCCTGTCTACTACAGTATGTTTAGGACTCGCTTATCCTCTCCACACATCTGTACAGGGTTCCTCAAGTTTCTCCTCAGCCTCCACACCAGTCCCCAGCCCCTGAGGTCACTGTCTCCCATCAGCCCTCTCTCAGGGACCTCCAGCTCCTCCACCCCTACGGCTCCGTTTGAAAACAGACTTAAAGGACAAGTTCAGTATTTTACAATTAAAGCCCTGTTTTAAGATCGTCCCTGATGAAATAGAATAGTTAAGATTGTTTTTTAGACAGATGCTCCTGTCACGAGAATTTGTGGATTCTGTGTTAGCACCCCCCCACCTTTATAATGGTAGCATAGGTGCACTGGAACAATCATTCATAAAAACGCATAAAACTTTAGTTTACAAAGACGTGAAACTCACCGAGTGGTCTGGGGTGTTCACTGATATGCTCACGCAAAAATCGCTGCAAAAGATGCTTTCCAACAGGTTTTA